TTCCCTTTCTTTTTTCATTGTTTTACTTTTGTGTAGACCTAGGAGCTTAGTCCGGTGGTTCTCCATCCTGGCTGCAGATGACAGTCGTTTAGGTAGCTTCTAAAACACCAATGCCGGGGACAGTTAAATAACAATCTCTGGAAATGTGGCCCAGCAAAGTCTGATTCTTTAAAACTCTCCAGATGATTTTAATAGGTATTTAAGTTCAAGAACCACAAACCTGAAGCAATTACTCTAAAACCCAGCATAAATTCTGGGAACATAGCTGTCAATATTTAGTTAGGGGTATATTTTATGATGACTTCGGCTTAGAATGCTTATCTAGAAGTTCTGGTATTTAAAACCAGACAACAAGATTATTCCATGACTCTGATGAACGACTCACATTCTGACAATATTCCTGCAAATTACAGCTGCCTTTCTCTTTTGCACAGGTGTGCATCAGAACCACATGGAGAGCTTTTTCAAACTCCTACTTAAGGAGTATATTCACCTCCAAATTGCACATACACATCAGAAAGTTAAACGTCACGCTGCTTTTTCAGTGACTGTGTTCATATTTTTAAAATTTGTTTTTTTTCTTTCTCAAGTGGTTCTTTTTATTTGTATATTTTTTTAATTAAAATTGTTGGGTGTGACATTAGCTTTAAAATTTATAGTGTACAATTAAATAATACGTCATATGTATATTGCATTGTGTGTTCCCACTTAAATATCCGTCTGTCACCATACATTTGACCCCATTTGCCCTTAAAATTTTTTTTCAAAGGTATGTCATCTAACTTTTGAATGAGAAACTGAAATACAGAAGCATCCCCTCTGCAATTTGCATTAGTTAAAAGGAAAAATCCAGCTAAAATCAAAGGCATCATTCTCTTACAGTAAATGTACTTCAATTCAATTGCATTCTCCCAAAAGTGGCCTTGAGTTTGCACTAAAAAAGTCCATACATGTATCTCTATCATCCTAGAAATATCACATGCCTACTAGTGACCAGTTGAAATGAGAAATATTTTCATAGTCACCCAAAAGTCTTTTTTTAACAGCATGGTTTTTTAATACACTCTTAGCTCTTGGCCTTATGTTCTAACCTAAGGAATGAATTTAGGCTACAAATTAAATTTGGAGTTTAAATATGACATCATAAATAGACTAATCAGTATAATATATAATATGGAGTTACTATTAAAACTTGGAGAAGCATGAAAAATACATAGTATCATTTAAACAACACTCCATATAAGTTACATAATTTAAACCTCACCTTCTTGAAAAATAAGCTAAAGTAAAACTGTATTACATACAAGAAAAATCACCAATAATATATATTTTGGTTTGTCACCTTTTAGGAAATCTCTAGAACAGCGCTGCCCCAAAGAACTCTGTGATGATGAAATGTTCTCTATGTACACTGTCATATAGTAGCAGCGCTTATAATGCGACTATTGCAACTCAAACAGTAAATTCAAAATTTTTGTTTCTATTTAAATTGCCACATGTGGCAGCAGCTTCAGCATTAGACACCACAGCTCTAGAGTGTTGCATTTTTCCTTTCCTAGTACTTCATCTTTTTATACATTGTTATAAAAGAGACTTCAAAGTCGATGCCCAAACCTGCCAACTTAAACTTAAAAATGAGTTTGGCGCAGCACTCCACTGCGCTAAAAGATACCTTTATACCATCAAACAGGAGACTGGCACTTACTGGTCTGATGTCAATATCGCACATTCCAACACTCGTAGTGACAACATGACTGACTCCCAACATCGTGTTTCCTGATAATCCCTACAACAAAATAAAATGAGTAGTGACACAGAAGAATATCAAACAATAAAGTACATATAAAAAAATTTAGTCAGCATTATCTAGGCTTTAAATTACAAAAGTACATTGCATAGACAGAAAAGGCCAGGCTTTTATGAAATGCTTTCATACCTTTACATTGGAAGGGTCAAATAATCCTTCAGGAATCTTTAACCGCTCTGCTCCAAAATCACAGTTGTAGCCATTAGGGAATTCGTAATGAACGGTGGGCATCTGTGCAGCCACCCTGAAAACATATTAAACACAAGGCAAAAACAATCCTCTTCAAAATTTTAAACTACTAAGGAATCAAATTGTAAGAAAACAGAGTGAGAATGTTTTACTTCCCTTTAAAATGTTACTCAGTATTTCTAAACGTAACTTTTTTCCTTTAGACTAGATAAACGTATTCTGATATTTTTTAACTAAAATCAATTTCTTTCCTCATTTATGAAGTATACAGTTTTGTAAGTGATTACTATGAAGGTTTAATGTGCTATTAAATTATAAGTCTCGTAGACAAAATAAGAAAACATACTGTTCATCGTAAGTTGAATCTGACACTTGAAGTACTGAAGCTTGAAAATCCTGAATCACACACTATGGATTGAAACAAAAAAAATTTTTTTAAAAAACAAGATTATTGAGATTTTTTTTGCAATTTATAGTTGTGTAACATAAGATATAAATTACTTTTCTAAATGCAATTGGACCACATTCCTGGATAAGCAAGTCATTCAAGGGTATAAATGTCTAGCAAGGACACTGGAGAATCAAGAAACCCATTTCCAAACATCTGCATTAGAAACTAAATGACAGAATATTAAATGTTTCACTTATGGAACACTGATGGGAGAAAAACAACTAGGAACCCTTGTACCACGGTCCTGCATAACAAAACTGTTTTCAAAACAGTTTTTCTCTTAAGAATAAACTCAGACTTAGAAGCAAGATTTCGTTACCTGAATATATATATACATGCACTATACATAGCAATTTATGTAAGTTTAAATGACTGCATTTAGTGCAAAACAATTTAATAATCTGTTCTGAAAAACATAAGACCTCTGGGCTTCTAAGGGAAAATCTTGTCTAATATCTTGGTAAAATTATTAATCAGATTCACAATTTTTCCTTGTACTGAACACTCATAAAAATCTTTATATTTAGGTACAAAACACTGTCAGATAGGGGATATCCCTGCCATAGTAAATTATGACTTTCACATCCTTTTACTGTGAGAAATGAATGTATACCTGTGATGTAAGAGGTGGTTTTACTAACCTCTCTTCTGTCAGTAAGTCGTATGTTCAGAAATGGGTTTTTAGAAAAGAGACTCTCATTGGAACTTAGCTATGAACAGTACATATTTTTTGCATGGCTAACTGATGTGAGAAAAGAGAACATGACTGAGCAATACCAGCAGATCTCTACAGGTAAAAACTATTTTCTCCACCAAAATATGTCCACAAGCATAATGCTTGTTTTTACCCGCAAGACAAAGTTCATTCTAGGTCTCACCACAGTCATCTAAGAGAATATCTTGTAGTTTGTTGACCTATTTGTTTGGCAAATATGAAAAGCACCCGCAACCACCCCTCTGAAAAATCTATTAATTATATTTGTAAAATACCATTAAAAAGGTAACGTTTGAAACTAGTGCTCATATTCCATTCAAAGACTTACAGACTATAACTCTTTCATAAAGAGAATAAGGGTAACTTACATTACACATATAATTGTGCCAAGACCTTGTCACCTGAGGCAACTTCTCTTTTCTTTTCCAGTTTGCCGGAGATCCTTCCCGCACAGGTTCCTGAGGACCAAAAGCATGTGCTAAGTTAACAGAGCTCACAACATGGGGTGAAGAGGTGGAATAACTTCCAAGAAGAAAATCCCATCATCGCTTACTTTTGATGCAATCATATACGGAGGAATCAGTTCTATGTTCATTTCTTGGAAGAGTTCTCTGCATTGCATAGTAATAAAGTCTCCAGCAAGAGGCGATTTCACAATACCTAAGAAACAGATTAAACAAGGCTAAGGAAGCATTAAACCCAAACTCCTTGGGACAGAGCCTCTCTTCAGATTTAAATATCAATAATTTTTTCAAGTAGAATTAACTGAACAATCACTCAAAGCATGCGTGAAGCCATGCAATGGTTTTAAATATGCATATATTTTAAAGATTTTTTTAAAAGACATTATTTGGAAACTGATCTCTTTTGACAGTCCGTTATCTGTGTGCTCACGACAGCTCCCGTCGTCTCGTGCACTCTGGGTAAACACACGTACCTTGCTGAAGGACATAGCCATCGTGAACTGGAATCGCAGTGGTATGAGTGGCTCCACTGTCCAAAATGAGCCCAGTAGAACGACCATTGGCAAATCTAGTTTAAATCATTAAGGAAAAGTAAGAAAAAAGGCTCCTAAAGTGTTTATTGTAAAGGGCAGGTTTTATTAAGGTATCTGTAATCATGTGTATTATGACTTAAAATGTGCTCACGGAAATCTAGGGATGAAAACTGAAATCAA